CTCCAGGACCTTTACAGAAAAAACAGTATTTGCGTGTAACCAGTGCACACCCTCCTGTATGCTTTAAATAATCTCTAGAACAATGTAAAATGCTAGGTAAAATGGTTATTAGACAATAGTTTTTATTTGTATTATTGCATTAGTAATTTTTTTTTGTTTTTTCCTTTTAATATTTTCCATCTGAGGCTCCCTGAATCCGAGGATCTGGAACTCATAGAGACAGAGGGTTGCCTGTATTTGCAGCTTTGAATATCTTCCTGTGGCAGATGCTCATGGCTCATCTCTCCTGGGATAATTCCTGTATTTCCTGGTGACTTTCTAAAGATCACTTAAAGTGCACACAATCAATTTAAGTAACTGCATGTAGTCAGGTCACCACCACAACAATGGAGTAGAGGCTTCTATCACCCTAAAAGTTCTCTTGAACCTCTTTGTAGTTGTGACCCTCCCCTTGGCTCCAACAACCAGCATGACTGTTTTCCAGCACTAGAGTTTGACCTTTTGTAAAACTGATCAAAGCTGGCGCACACCTGTAATCCCAGCACGAGGGGGCTGAGGCAGGAGAATCAATGTCAGTTTGAGGCCAGCTTGGGCCACAGAGTGAGTTCAAGACTAGCCTAGATTATATAGCAAGGCCCTGTCTTTAAAAAAAATGATGGATACATAAAATCAAACAGTGTATATGCTTTTGTGTGTAGCATTTCTTATTTAGCATACAATTTCTGAGACTTACTTTAGGCATCGGTGATGGATTCTTATTGGGATGTGGGTTTGCATCCCCAAAACATACCCCTAACTGGTTTTCATTCACCAGTTGGTAGATATTTGAACTGTTTCCAGGTTTGGGTAATCATCAATAAAGCTGCTGTAAAATCTGTGTACCAGTCTTTGTGTGGGCTTCTGTTTTCATTTCACTTGGTTGAGACACCCAGGAGTAGGCTTTCTAGGCCATAGGATAGATACCTGTTTAATCTTCCTAGGATACCCGGAAACTGTCTTCCAAAGTGGCTGTACTATTTTCTATCCAAGAGGGACACTTTTAGTCCCTGGTATATTACTGGCCTTTCTGAAATCCATGGCTGTCTATCTGTATAATAACTTAGAGAGATTTTCAGTGGTTCCTACATGCAATTAAGTTCCTTGGCTTTGGGGCAAAATCCAATAACATGTCTATGGATGCGATGACTCTCGTTTTGAACTTGGGGGCTCAGTACAAAGGTTCACATTGTCCTCCTCTTGAGAAAAACACATCCACCTGCCACAGTGCATGTGTGAGTCAGGCCTCCCGAGCGTCCTCCGAGTCCTCACATGTCAGCTTTGTGTGTACCTCCACTGTCAGTTTCAAGTTCATCCTGTGTTGAGATAATGCCTGAGGGCAAGAGGAGAACCGTCTGTGGCTGTCAGATGGGGTGGGAAGTGATTAATCACAGAGACATATCATGGAGATGTTTATGGCACACTGAACTGCTTTGTTTCCTGACCTCTATCCCACATGCTCAGGGCAGGCGGGGTCAAGTTTAAATCTAAGATGACAAGTGTCTGGGGCTCAGGGAGGTTTCTGCTGAATGCTCCACGTGGAGTCAGTGGCACTGCTTCTCACACCTGCTGAAAACTGACCCCCAATTTTTAAAAAGTTATGGGGGCAAAAACACCTGTTGACTTGGCCTTGGGCGGAAACCTCCTGCCGGCTTTTGGAGCTCACACACCCTCTGGATGTGCCAGAGGGTGTCCTGGTTGCTGGCAGCCTCAGGGTCACTGCTCTTCCTTGGCCGTCTGTCACTCACAGCATCGCTGTACCTTCCTAGGGCCAAACGGTTGCTTGTGCTGGACCCCTTCAACTTCTTCCTTAGTGAGTTAGTTCTGTCAGAGTGAGCTCGTGAATTTCATGACAGGCGAGTGCTCCTGCTGTGCGCCCCAGTGTACCCAGGTCATGTGACCTGTGGGATTAAACAGTGTTGCTAATTTATCGCTTGAGCCAAGGTCAAGTTTAAATGACGTTTATTCCATCAAAGCCTTGTTGGGAGAGGGGGAGTGTTTCTGTTATCGCTGTACCTTCCTAGGGCCAAACGGTTGCTTGTGCTGGACCCCTTCAACTTCTTCCTTAGTGAGTTAGTTCTGTCAGAGTGAGCTCGAAAATTTCATGACAGGCGAGTGCTCCTGCTGTGCGCCCCAGTGTACCCAGGTCATGTGACCTGTGGGATTAAACAGTGTTGCTAATTTATCGCTTGAGCCAAGGTCATGTCCATCAAAGCCTTGTTGGGAGAGGGGGAGTGTTTCTGTTTTTTTTTGTTTGTTTGTTTTTTAATTCAAAGAAACGAGCAAACATGAGAAGATACCACATCACAAGCTTGTGCACTGTGGCTCATCCTTTGGAAAGGTCTGAGGATCTTAGTGTTGGAAGATCTATGAGGCCATGAGCCATCTGCCCAGTGGGCAGTGGGAAGCCACATCCAGCACCCAACCCTGCAGGTGCCAGGGGCCAGCTTCTCACGCCACCCCTGCTGGTCTTGATGATGGGGTGTCTGCGACCTTCATGTGAATTCTGCCTTACCTTCTCTCAAAATCCAGCTTTTGAAATCTCTCTAAAACAGCAGTGCGCAGGGTGACCTAGTGCATCCTTGATCCCTGGTTCTGGGATAGTGCTGGAAAGTACAGCGGAGCATGTGCGCACTTGGGTTACTCAACACGGAGCACGTTGGGAAATGGCAGTATTTTTCTGTTTTCAAATAAGTGGGTTTGGAAGGGGCTGGGAAACTGCGGGGTTTAGTTACAAAATAACTATAATTGTGGGAGAAGCGTTTTCTTTCCATTTTGAAACACACTGAATAGGATATGCCATTTAGAAAAGATTTACAGTTAGAGAAGGGCCCCTTCCTGGGAGGGTGCGTCTCCTGGTGGGGAAGGTGCTCTGGGGGGCTGAAGGCGGGGACTGGGGGGCCTCGTGTTTTCTCTGTGCCACGTGAGCAGAGTCCTCAGGAGGGAGCACCAAGCCCATGTTTCTGCCCCCCTGGAAAGCATAGGAGGTTCTGGCAGAACATAGTTGTCATGACAAATGGCCACCACAGCACCATGGCGGGCAGCCCTTCTTTTTGCCCTCACAACTCTCCTTGGCATTAGCAACACGTGTCTACTCAATGCCCACTCTGTGTTTGGACCCCTCCCCTGTGACAGGACGCCATGTAATAGGACCCCGTGCAAGGCCTGGCCAAGGCTCTGTCATGGCGGGCTCCGTGGGCTGGGCTAACTGGAGGGCAGAGCTGGGTGGTAAGCAGCAGAGTGCAGGGACAGGGAAGGCCTCCTCCAAGGCAGGGGGCGGGACCCAGACACATGGAGCTACAGGAGGTGGGAGGGCTGGGGCTGGCCTGCTGGGCTTGTGAGAAGGGGACCGTGGCTATCCCTGCCTGTTTCTTTTTACTTATCACTGCTTAGCATTGGTTGTCTTTCCCCCTGCTCGTATGGAAAAATGGAATAGCAAAGAACTTTGTCTTATTTTCGGATTATCCCCAGGATCTAGAACAGTACTAGCATTTGGAAGCTGTTCAGTAGGCATTTGTTGAATACATCAAGCGATTGCACTAGGATAGTGTTTGGAGGACCAAGCATGAGAAGACATTGGGTGCTACTGTGTCATCTAGGCATGGTAGGACAAAGGCACAGAGGGGTGACCTTAGGGACGTACAGGTGAAGAATGGAGGAGAGGGCCTTGGCTTGGATATGGCCAGGGAAGGGTTGTTTAGCCATTTCTTGGAGGACTCTATAAAGCTGTGCTATAGACTCAGATGTCTTTGGGGCTCTGGTTCACCCCGCTTTTGATCTTTTGTTGCCAAATCTAAGTCCCTGGCTCTCTTTCTGTAACCTTAACCTGATTGGCTAAATCTAAGATTACAAACTGACCTCAGAGAAAAATGCAAACTTTCTCTTTAAAGCTAAGTGAGATAAAAATAAGATGAAGATGAAGATAAGATAAAAGTTAACCTGTGATGGGTAAAATGTAAAGAATGAGAAAGGTATCAGATTGTATCTGCTGTTTAAATTTCTTTAAATTTTGCTCTTAGTTGTGGTGGCCATTTAAATTTAGTGATTCAGTATTATGCTTAATTTTTGATATGTTGTACATGTTTTATAGAGTTGTGGAGTTGTCTGCTAATCTGTGCTTTGGTTACCTGCTAGCTGTGTGTTTGAGCTTATACCATTTTCAAATGCAAAGCTGTCATTTAGCCATCACCATTGAATTTATGGAAGCCACCCTACTTGTCAGTAAGGGGATTAGGAGGTGTTCAGAAAAATCACTCAAGCCTTGGAAATAAGGAAAGAGTAGAATTCCACATCATTTCACTGCCCTGTGTACTGGAGCACTATCTGTTAGGTTTGGGCAATTGTTTAAATCTCCAGGGAGTGTACTTTTGTGACATGTGGGGCTCACTAGTAATTAGGACCCAGACCTGCCTGAGGCTGCATATTACCTGGTAGAAGATAAGTTTTATGCAATTTTTGTTCAGTAGAGATGCAAATAACTTATGTCTGGTTGAAATGATAACTAAAAATTATGGTTTATTGTGTCATAAAACATTAAGCAGTTTTGTATGTAACTTAAACTCCTTTCAGCATTCCTTCTCCACGTGACTCCATAGATGTGCTCCTCAGACCCTCTGAGACACAGCGATTCCTGATAATGAATTAATCAAGTGCTTAGCTTAGCACATGTAGGGGAGTGTGAGACTCAAACTGCTAGTATTTGAAAACAATGCTTTGACAGACGAGATGAAAAGTTCTCCCCATTCTACAAAATGATGTCAAATGACATAGAATATATACAAAAGACAGAATTCACTTCTTTTTTTCCCTTCCGTTTCTACTTTCCATGATGAATTTCTCATGGAGGACTATTCAGAGGAGGCAGGGGGAAAGAATATTGCTCTTGTCAATATTGCCAGACCGACAGCTTGCTCTGTTCATTCACTTCCTGTTTTCTCTTCCTAAATTGTTTTTAGCAGACTTACAAATGTGATCCAGAAACAAGTCGTGGCCTGTGCCCTGCCAAGTCTGTAATTAAGACTGGGGGTGTGCTGGGCAGTGACACATTCCCATCTGTGGGGTTCTCAGCAAGTTCTGTGCTGTTTTTGGAGTGGAGGCGCTGGAGGGCAGCAGAGAAAGGTTAGTGTGGTGAGGTGAGGCAGAGGCCTGGTCTACCTGGTGCCCATACCCTTTTTTTCTCTTGCTATGTCTCCCAGACTCACCTGGTTCTACCCCAGCCCTCACTTTGCACTATGGTCCACCCCTACCTACAGTTTTGCTTTCTGTGGTTTCAGTTGCCTGTGATCAATGGCAACCTGAAAATATTAAATAGAAAATCTCAGGAATAAACAACCCACAAGTCTTAACTCTTTTTATAGCATATTGTAATTGTTCTATTTTATTGTTAATTGCTGCTGATTTCTTACTGTGCCTAATTTACAAAATCAACTTTGTCGATAGCATGTGTGTGTAGGAAAACCCTAGTATATGTAGGGTTTGGTTCTATCCGCCTCCATTGAGGTGGGGGTGGGTCTAGTGTTCCTCCACGGGACAAGAGGAGGCAGCTACTGTGTGTGATTTGCACTAAGACTGTGGAAAACTACTTGTCTTTGTGGGGCTTAATTTTTCCCATAAAACCAATGTGGTAAACTTACCTCCCTTAGCTACCTAAGGGAGACAGGAGAAAGAAAAAAAGTAGGAAAAGTTTAACCAATAGTTGGAAAGAAAGATTAAAAACAAGTCTGTTCCAAAAAAAAAAAAAAAAAACCAAACAAAATGGGGCCGGGGATTTAGCTCAGCGGTTCGGTGGCCTGCCTCACAAGTGCAAGGACCCGAGTTCTATCTCTGGTACCACAAAAAAAAAAAAAAATCTCTGTTCCTTCAGTGCCACACCAGAAGATGCCACCTTGGGTAGGTTGTGTTTCTGGATGGGAGAAACCCACAGGCAATATAGTCATGGACATGCATCTTTAGGATCAGGCTTTTATTTTTAAGGTGTGTGGGAAGCGGGAGAGGGGAACAGCATTTCAGTCATTGCCCCAGTTTGCATTTTCTTCCGTCCAAAGTCGAGACAGCTTTCTGTTGTCAGGTCCTTTAACAGTGGTTCTTGTTTTTCTAAAACCATTATCCAACTAAACCCAATCGTGTAAAGGCTGATTAAAAACATGGCGTCTGTTAAAATAAAAATTCTTGTCACAGTAGATGATACATTGTTACTGTCCCCCAAAAGTCCTTCCACTTGCTTCTGACACACTCATCCCATCATTCTTGCCACTTCCGGAAGCAGTTCTGAAAGTCCTCTTTCATAAAGGTCTTTATAAGGTGTGATTAAAATAAGGTGAATAACACTGCCAAGTTCCATCCAAAAGAAAGGCAGATCTGAAAAAAAAAAAAATTACTGTCTTCACCTTATCCAGAGCTAGCACTGTGTGATTCTGAAGTCAAAATCTCCACGAGAGTTCAACGTTTTGATTCCACTGAGAACATCCAGGCATCCATGACACAAAAGAGAACTTCCAGAACCATCTCAGGAAGGGGCAAGAACAATGGAGTAACTGATCAAAGTGAGCAGGAGTGTTGTGAGGAAGATTAATGGCAAAGTGTCTTTTACTGTAACAATTTTTTAAAAATGTAAACATTGACAGTATTTTGTGAGGCTCACCTGTTTAGGCAGCAGCTGTAGCTTCTTCTATGAACCACAAACAAAGTTTGAAAATTTACTGGGTGTGATAAATGTAGCAGAACTGCTGTCGCTCCCCTTCCTCACGCTTTCCTGGGGCCATATGTGCACAATGCACACACACACACACACACACACACACAAAAGAACATTTTAAAATGCGACTCTGTGCTTCAAAGAAGGTCTTTGAGCCTGAGAGCACACAGGAGCTCTGCTATGGAGAGTTTAATTTCGGCTATGTGATTGCCTTGTGGTTACTCTACCGGAGGCCAGACCACAGTGAGGGGCCCTCCCTCCTGCAACCACACCAAAGTGGGGGAAGGGGCCTTGGGGAACAAAAGAAGAGCTTTTCCCGTCCTCTAGGACAGGGTGACCACAGCGGCCTGGCTGGAAGGTCCTGAGTGGAGGTTGTGGCTGGTTTCAAACTCTTGTCCCTGGGAGTTTGCGTTATGGCTGAATCCAGGGCTAACAGGAAGGAGCTCGGCCCTGTATGGCCATCGGGTTTGCGCATGCGCGCTCTATTGCACATGGCCCATGCTGAGGGCAGAGGCTCGCGGCACTGCCAGGTGTCCGGGTCGTTTGACCCCAGCAGCGCTGTGAACGAGGGAATGCTCCTTGGCCTCCTTCTGGTCATCCTTCTCCCTACCTACCTCCCTGTCCCTTCTCATCTAGCAGTGCTTTAAGTTCAGTATGCTATAAAAGAGTTCCACAAGGCCCTTTCTCAGAAACTGGATTTAGTGAATGAGACACTTGCCTGGTTTGTGATCATCTTTCTCTCTTGTTATCCAAAAGGAAGAAGATAATTAACGATATAATCCGGGCTTTTGGACTTGTAGGTTCTGAGGCTGGAGGTGTAGATTTTTAGAGAGGCAGTCTGATAACAGGGCCGAGGGACAGATTTGGACATCATACAGGCTTGTGCTGCCCTGGAGCAAAGCCTGTGCACCTCAGTTTCTGCGTTTGAGAAATGGGATCTATAGTCCCCCACAGGGTTGCTGTGAGGAGTGTGGAAAACACCGAGTCCTGTGTCTAGCTCCTGGAAAGGGTCCTAGTAACTGGTAGCTGTTTTTAAAGTTGTTGGCAGGCTAGGATGGTGCGCAGGCCCACAGACTAAAACCCTGATGGAGAAAAAAAGGCTCCCTGCCTTGGTGGCAGGTTGTAGGTCCTGGACACTGCCTAGGGTTCTAGAGAGCTCAGCCTCCTTATTGCCAAGTTGGTGAAGGACCTCAGGTTGGGCAGGCACCCTGTGGCAGATGAGTCCCTGCAGGACCCCTCCAGGGAATGACAGGAGTAGATATGCCAGGATGGAAAGAGGGGGATGAAGCTGGACTTGATGGCTCACGCCTGTGATCCTAGAATTCAGGAGGCTTAGGCAGGTGGACGGCACGTTCCAGGCTATCTGACTACATAGTGAGACACTGTCAAAAAATGGGGAATAAAAAGGAGGGGGAAGTGAGGAACACAGACCCTTGTGGAGAGAAGGGGGTCTTTGAAATTTGTGGATGAGCTATTTTGTGTATGGAAGGTGGCGTGACTCAGGCGAATCCTGCTTTCTTGCCTCAATAGATTCTGTGTTTTTGACACAGAATCAGAAGCCCGGGGCTGAGCTCAGAGCAGGGTGAGGTGCAAGGCCAGGACTTCCCGTTCCAAAAGACCTGTGGGGGGTGGGGGAGGTGCCTGTTGGTAGGAAAGGCTCCAGGGCGGGGTGGGGGAGGGC